CATTACGAATTTTATTGTAGTGATAGTGTTAACTACGTTTTGTTTGAAATATTGTTTTTCTAAGGAGAGGCTTATGTCCAGCAGTGAACTAGTAGAGGTTGTTGATGTATACCTCTTTTTTATTATTATAATTAAAAATGCGTCATTAGCGTAGAAATTTAAGGAAAAACATAATCTTGATTAGCATGCGTAACGTACAAGGCTTAGAGTTAATTGCTGTACTCAGGCTTCCAAAGGGTGATCTTAACCGGCTTATCCAGTTCACATGACTCAGCTTGTGATATCGCTTTGCATACATGCTTTTCATCCGAAAAATAAAGTGTAATTTTTAACATAAAATCATTGAAATAACGATACATAGAGTTCCATATAGAGTTTACTTCTTTCTCGTCATTATAATATACTTTGTAGCGATCTTAACGTTTATAAAAAATAAAATAAAATAGCCTTTATTCTACTACCAATAATCGATAAATACACAAATTATTTTTATCATGCTCTTAATATATCTAAAACCAATTTACTATAATTATTATACTATTAAGAACTTCTATATATTATCAATAAGCAATAATAATTACACATTTCAATATTTACAATAATAAAAACATTTAAAAAAATTGGAATTTCATAATTTATATATTTTATTTATTTTTTTATTTAACATTTTGATTTATTATCCTTTTTTATTTATTATTGTGTTAAAACTATTACGTTCAAATATTTAGGTAATGGTCGCCTAGGCATAGGCCTCCCCCAATACTTTCCATTGCTTTCTGTCTCTAGCTGTTCTCATCCATTCCGATCCAACACTTTGTGTGAAGATGTCCCTCCATCTTGTTCTTTGTCGTCCTCTCCTCCTCGTTTCCTCTCTGGGTAACCACTCCATTACTTTTTTTGTCCATCTATTGTTTTCCATTCTACATACGTGACCAGCCCAGTTCCATTTTAATAACCGGATTCTTTCTCGTATGTCCTGAATTTTCGTTATTGCCCTAATTTTTTTGTTTGTTACTGATTTGGTCTTTTATTTTGATGCCTAGCATACTCCTTTCCATTTTTCTTTGACAAATTGCTAGTTTTTCTTCCTCTTTCTTTTTCAGAGACCAAGTTTGGCATCCGTAGGTTATACTTGGCAGGATCACTACTTCATAAATCTTTTTCTTAATTTCTATTTTTACTTCTTTGTTTCTCATAATTTCCTTCAATCATTGCCATGCTATTGCAATCCTTCTGGTTACTTCATTTGCGGTGCAATTTTTAAACGATATCGAGTGTCCTAAGTATATGTATTCTTTCACGTACTCTATGCTATTGCCATCTACTATAACATCTATGATTTCACCGTTTGACATAATCTTGGTCTTAGAGACGTTTAAAGACAAACCAACCTTTTTGCTCTCCTTTGATAAACTATCTATCATAAATCCTAAGTCAGTTGCATTATCTGCGAAAAGCACTATATCGTCCGCGAACCTCAAGTGGTTTAAGAACTCTCCTCCTATTTTAAGACCAATATTCTCCCAATTTAACCTCCGGAATATCGACTCTAGTACCGCTGAGAACATTTTAGGCGATAGAGGATCGCCTTGTCTGGCTCCTTTCTGAAGGTGAAATTCTGGGCCTTCTTTTTCTAATCTCACCTTTGCCCTACATTTGGAGTATATGTTATTTTTTTATTTTATTTTATCAAAGTGCAGTAAATGTGTGTAGTCTTTTTTTCATTTCAATATAAGTTTATAATGAAATATCATACTAAGCCCAAATAAATTTCTCCAAGGCCGGTTAAATACATCTTGCAGTGATTTTTATTCACCCTTATTAAAATATACGAGCTATATTAAAATTTATTCATTCTCCAAAAGATTGCTTCGGTTGAATAATTCCAAGCATTTTAGTCGATATTGCTCGGTGGATATTTAAAAATTCTTCGCAGAAGTATTTTTAAAAGATCGCAATTTATAGCCAACCTGATATCCGAGATATTGAACTTATCGAAGAAGTTCTATTGCTTATTTTCGTAAAATCCCTACGGTTATAAACTACTTTATGGATAGATCTGATTGGATTTATCAAAATGCAGCGAAATTTAACGAATCATGAAATGCAAAAGGCACAGATATGATTGTTTTTTTTACATTATTATTGTCTTGGTAAGATCTCACTCAATACTAGACAGTCTTTAATTTTATTTATTTAAGGAATTTATACATATTTCTTGATTATTAGTGACAAATAATCGTTTCTAGTACACATATCCGAGTAAAGTTGTAAATGTCCGGAGATAGGGTTCGCATCAGTATGAGGCACTAAAAGTTAAACTATCTCCTTCATGCTTCAGTGCCGCCTTCTATCTTGAAATATGCTCTTTTTATTATTGGAACTTTGTAGCAATAATAATATTATATTTACAATTAGGTTCTCCCGGCGGCTACTGAACACTGAATTATGTTTGGAAACTTCTATTCCCATTTTTTTTCTTGACTTTAAGGTACCTCAGGTCCTTTTTTCTGCCCCCTGGCCACATGTATGCAATATTTTGTGCTGATCGGATAAAAGTTACAGTAGCACATACATTTTTTATTTTTTTATTTAACGTAATTTATATAGCATTAGCTTTTGTCCGCGTGGTGGTCGACATCCAGACATCGTAGAGGATACAATGTTGTTAGAGAATATAATTATACTGAGAGTTTGGCATCTATAAGTGAAAGGTCCATATACAAACTTGAATCTCTTTTTATGGGTAGTTTAAAAAAAATGTAATAACGTTTTTTATTACTTTTAGTAAAGTGTGTGTGTGTATATGTTTACTGTGAGTTTGAAAAGGCTACTGCCAAAAATAACGAAGCTTCATATAAATTTCCAATCCCTACTTTTCACCCATAGGGGTCCAGTTTAAAAAAAATATTTTAGTGCACATCTACGTCACCTTTCTTTCCTCCTCCTCCCTTCCTCCATCCTTTGTGCAAAATTACATACTTTCAGACCCAGCGCGTAAAGCGGTTTCTTCAGCTATGCGTTGATCAAACAGTCAGTGAAACAGTCTGTCAGTTTCTTCTTTTATAGATATATTATAGATTATACTTTAAAAAGATAATTATATAATTATTAAATATTTCTAAATGTATACACCTAGATAAAACAAAGGTGAAAATATCTTATTTAATAAAATAGCGTTTGTAAAATTAGAAATTACATATTTTTGTACAGGACAGCGAGAATCTACTTCAATCCCAAATGATTATCGCTATTTTGTACAAAATTACTTAATTTATCTAAATCTTGAAAGACTGGGCTTGTAAATCGTAATCGTAGAAGGTATTTCTGCACACACTATCAGAATGATAACGTGGATACACCTTGATATATCTTTATTTCACTAGCACTAGTTCTGCTATAAATCCCAAAGGAGTGCCAGAGGGAGAGAAATAAAAGCGCTATCATTCTGCAATACGTTTCTCAACATACTCGTACTAATAGGTAGAATGTTCACACGCGAGGCACGCCACTTTAGCTGCCAGATTTAGCGCAAACACGCTTGCCGTAAAGTTTTCAAGAAACTCGTCGTGCTTTATGATTCTTTTTAAAATGGATTTGTTATGACGCTGAAAGTGATAGTGACAAGCAAAGTTGTTTTCCACTTTAGAAGATTGCTTTCAACCAATAAATTATACCAAGTTTCACTGTATAAAAGTTCGCCTTGAAAGTTTTAAGAGTGATTTAGTAATTATTCCTGTCAATATATATTTATTTTACCATCACATATACACCTAAACCCGAAGGTTAGACAGAACCGTCTACATTTTTTTGACTACAATTTTAGTACCACTTTCGTAAGTGGAACTAAAATTAATGAGGGTTTAAAATATTATAATATACCAGCTGAACCCTGCTACGCTTCGCTGTAACGCATTGTGGTTGTAATAATGAGAAATAAGAAATAAAATATCATATAGATGCATACGCCGCGCTAGTCGAAGCCCCGCTAATATAACAATATTCACGCAAGTTATTGTCATTTTGACAAGAAATTTGTATTCTGTTAATCTCACTATCAAAGCGATGTGTTCAGTCTTCCGTTTCAATAAACTCAAAATCAACATACTTGCGTAATTATGTTTGTAAGGTCTCACAATAACAAATCCCCAGTCAAACTGTCAGTTGTATAACATTGCTTCAAAATGTAATATAAAGTGTTAGATCAATAAGCTCATATCAGCGCTACAAAGCTTACCTTCTCGTCGTCCTATAAACTTTACAAAACAATTCATTTTAACCCACATCTGTTTCAACTTGCCCAGAGGGAGAAACAAGCCTATTGTTTCAAATTTAGTATCAATTTTACATTTAACTGGAATCGTTTTGGGTCTGGAGATTTATAGTTCTGCAATAGTTTATTGCTTTCTTGGCCATATTATAAACCTATGTTTTGTCCTTATTGATTACACCAAATTACATTAACTTACCTTACTTCATAACATACACATTTACTTAGGTGCTGACTACAAAACCTACGACTACTAAAACCCCACAAGATTTCTACACCACCCAAAAGTTGGCTGGTAGAGAATGCCCAGGGCATTAAGTCCGCCGATGTACATAAGTGTATGAAGATGTAATAAATAAATAAAAACTATTCTAAAGGTACCCTAAGTTGCTTCATTATAAAATAAAATATTCAAAAACGAATGTACTCGTATATGAATATTAATTTATAACATACTCCTATTAATATATGTACATACTTTATGAAAGTTTTCAGTTCAAAGGAAATATTTATTTGGATAGTCTTTTAGTAAATTTGTTGTAATATCTTGACAGACACAAATAAAGTTAAACATCAACTCATCGAGGGAACCAAGGCTCTAAAAGTCGCTAAAAGTTTTACATTTTGATATGAAACACCTTTCCTCTTAAGCTGGTTTATATCCATAAACTTCGTAGGTGCTTTTGTATCAACAATATAGACTTGGCACTGAAATGATATTATTTTGCAGCCATTGTAACACGGATTATCTGACGCTACGGGCTGGTAGTTCGCCCTCTGCGTCGCTGTTAGGCACTCTATGCACCGAGCGCACCGCTACGCTCGAACATCCTGGGCCCAATCTTCTTCTGGAATTCAAGTAAGACTATCTTTTCTACTTTTCTCTTTTAGTCTGTTATTAGCTTGGTTGCTTGTTTAACAAATGCAGTTTCTAAAATACTCGTAAACGATTGTAGATCATCATTTAATACTGCTCAAAACTCGTTTACAAAACTTTTTCAAAACTTGCTAGTACAATATACGAGTATGTGCTCCACGTATGAATTCAAGGTAAATAGTATAGGCACTGCCTTTATTGTCACAAACAAGGCATGAGTAATTAATGAAGTCGTTCTAATCGCAATCGATTGTCGCAGATTGAAGATGTGAATATTTATTTTATGTATCCTCTCGATTAACCAATCTTTATTCAATAACCACTATGGGAGAAATTACCTTGGTGATGATATCAAAGTTGTTATTTTAATTTGTTGTAGCTTCTTGTTAACTGATAGTAACATTTTAAGTGAAAATTTAGGCTTGTAATACATATACATTCCTTCAGATGTAGGGGGTTCTCAGTTGGTAAATCACCTGATTATAAATAGGTAACTGAGATCTGCTCAGGACATTCTTAAAATATCAGACTCAAGTGAATGAACTTCCCACACGGTTTTGATTGGTTCGACTTATATGTCCACAACTAGATATAGATGCTCAAATATATGATTTTTTTCAAAGTTCACATAGTGTTTTCTTTTATATCATACAGTTTTTTATTTCCTTTCCTATATTAAACAAAACAAAAATGTGTTTATTACCAAAAGAAAACTGCATTTCTATTGTATCATCTGCACTCCTCTCAAATACGTACACACCCGTACGTACACATACGTATAATTTTGAGAATGTAATGTTCAATCTGTCTCGATATAAATGTATTACAATTAACACATATATGTAAGTAAATAAATCGCTAACACGATGATACCTTACAGTTCCGGGCCATTAGTACCACCGTACGACTATAACGGATTTATAGCCAAGCTCGAGTTTATTGAGAGAATTGAGAGCAGTGGTTCACCACCCACTGTGGTTCCTGCCTCGCCGCCATTAGCAGCACTAACACATCACATGCAATATGGTAAATATAACTTTTAAAAATACACAAATGACTTGCTTATATATTAGTTATTTTTGAATTCAGAAACACCCTGAAAATTGGAGATGTAAAAAACAATCAATATAACCTGAGTGATATTATGATATTTTTCAATGCTATTAGTCTTTTTATAACTACACCATTCAATATTTCCAAAACTTTATCCCAGAATGATTAATTTACTTGGTTAGTTTCAAGTATATAAGGTTTTAATTGATTCCAGGTTTTTTCCTTTTCATTCGCTTTATATTAAAATTTCACCAATTTGATACTCATCTTATACTTTTATCTGATTGACGGATTATTTTTATCGAGAAAAATATGTTACGTATGCTGTCAAAATAGTTTAATAGTTAATAGTTTAAATCGAACATTAAAATACACGAGACTAATAACATATGATATTTAACGACATTATAATTTAAAACAAAACATAGTAAAAATTAAGATATAGTAAATTAAGATATGGTCCCGCCGTGGTAAAGTCATGCTTCCGTGTATTTAGATCAGCTCGACTGGAGTTGTACCATGGCCTCACAGAAATCCGCTGCTAAGTAATTTTTCGTTACTTTGGACCTAGTGATTGAGGTAAGCGGAGCCTGACCCCTAGTTATGGCCTATGGGAAGGGGAATGTGGGCACTCAAAGTTGTATATATGCTAATCGGCGAGAGAATTCTTCATATCGCGATACAGGATTAGCACATCTGATTCAGTAGTTACTCCGCAGTTCGGTGTGCCTTCGCTAGGTGGCGCTGTAGTATGTTTCTGTTTCTTTGTATGTGGGAGTCGCCACAGGCGGTAACCAACTTGTGACTCGTGAGTTGCAGGTGTCCATTGGCAGCGGTCATCAATTAGCATCAGGTGACCCGTGTGGTCATTCACACCCTATTAAATAAAAAAAACTTGAAGCATTTACCTAGAGTTTTGTGCTCTAAGTAATTTGATTGAGTGATTAATTATATTTTAACACTAGCTGGTACCCGCGACATCGTTAGCATGAAATTTGAAATGTGCTACCTTAGTGGTGTAGAACGGTATGCGACTAAGGTCCACGAGGCCTCTAGTTTGATTCCAAAATTTATAGGTTTTTTCTGAGAGGAAAAATAGCCTAAGTTACTCCTTATATAGACAGCTACCTGGTAGTAAAATACTATCAAAATCGGTCTAGCAGTTGTGAAGATTACCCAACAAACAGACTGACAGACAGAAAAGATTTCAACTGGTGTTTATTTGCACGATACCTATGCCTATAGGTATCGTGCAAATAACAGTACGAGCCTAAAAAAGCTTATTATTTAGACATTACAAATAGACACTTCAATTTCATTTATTTCTATAGAAGATGACTGTTTTTATTTCTAAAAAGTTTACATATATTGTACTATGAGTCTGTACTCTCCAGAATCACATACTTCAGATCGCGCTAACAGAAACACGCTGTTTCTTCTAGCCTCAGATTTACGTTAAAGTTCAAACTTTTGAATTAATTAAGTTTTCCAATATTCCCAGCTCAACGGTTTTGCTCTTAGCTAGTTACACAGTTTAGAAACTGCACCGTTTCCTCATCAAAGTAAACAGAAAACCCATACATAAACAAAGATTTAAAGGAAACATAAATAAGACAAGTGGACCACATCCCTCGATAAACCTTTTTTATTTATTGAACAAGTGCACTAGCCTTTAGATAAACTTTGTATTATTTATATGGCGTGTGATATAAACAACAAAACTAAAACATTTGGTTAACAAGTTGAAACGTGTTCTCAAATGTAATTTTTTTTTCAGTGGATAGAATGCCAGTAGATAGTAACGGGATAACAAATGAAGTGTCCAGCGAGAACGGCGCAAGAGTAGGGTGCGGCTCTACTGTCCGGGGTTACGGCGCGGGAGGAGCGCGATCAGGCCACTTCGATACAAGAGCCTCAGCGTGGCGCGCCCAGTGCGTCATACATCTCCTGGGCGCACATTCTGATGTTGTCCAAGTCTCGCTATTTAATTATAATTTAAGGTAAGTGCAACTAAGATAAAATCAAAAGGTTTGTATAAAGAGACGTATCACTGAAAGTTAAGTCATGAATTTTGGAATATAAATATTAATATTCAGGAAAGGCAGTGAGATCGTTTCAAAATCTTGTTTACATAGTATAAAATAAAGTCGCTTTTTTCTTGTACGCTTAGATCTTTTAAACTAAGACAGGAATTTTAATGTGCTTTTGACCAATAAAGAGAGTGATCCAAGAGGCGGGTTATATGTTTAATACATGCATATTATATTAGAATTTCTTAGATATATCTATATATTATATCAGTAAATATTTACATATTTTCACAAGAGCAAATCAATAAACAAATGGTATCTTGAATACTCAAGGTGATTATATTTTGTTTTGGCGAGCCGAATAACCTAAAATGTTCAATAGCTTATTTTTGTATGTTTTGCTATGAAGGAAAATGCTTTAAACATAAATTTAGACCAAGCTATAATTAAACATTGAAGTTTATCGGCAACATTGTTTTATATTGCTTTTTCTTTTTAATAATATAATGTTTATATTGTGTTATTTTGATTATTAAAACGTTCATTCCTAAGATTTTTTTTATGACAAATGGAAACCTGATGGAAGCTGACTACCACAGCCCATAGATCAACTCATCAGCCACATGTGCGTCACCACCCCTTTAGTCCCTCTCTCAGAATCAGGGAAAGAGGAAGGGTTTTGTTCCGGTAACTTCACTTCTGGTAACTCAGGCCCAAGTGTGAGTTTATTTCACTTCTACTAGATCGTCATGGTGACCGAGTTCGGCGATGTGATTGGTCCGCACTAAAATCTCCATCAATCGCAACGCCAAACGCGCTCGCCGTCGAGAGCGATCGAAGTCGAAGAGCAAAGTCGATGTGAAAGAAACTCACACTTGGGCCTCTGCTTAACACCGATTTTCTGTGAGGCCATGGTATCACTCCGGTCTAGCCTGATCCATATGCATCGAAGCATAGCTCTCCCACATTTTATTTGTATGTAACATGTCTTGTATTCTTTATATTGTGTTATTTTCAAGATTTCAATGTTCTCTTCATAGAACGCGTAGTCCTAAAGAAATTTCTAAATAATTCTTTTAGATAGTGTATTTTCTTCGCTTGAGTCGATCGAACCTTATTTCTGTAGTAATAATCTATCTTTCAACGCCAATTCTGCAATCTAATACTCTTCTGCATTTACGTTAAATATTTTGTAAAATGGCTAGGAAAATCTCAATAAGGTCTCGAGCTAGACGATGTTACTACGAGTAATGGAATATGTTGCCGTTTCTATGTCTAATATTTACTTTAAATTTAAAACTATATAACTTTGATAGTTCCAATACTAGAATAATTTTGTTCCTTTCCAACGAATGGAAGTTGTTTAGTTGACAGGGAGTCCTGTCAACTAAACAATTGTGCTGTTTTATTTTTCCGATACTAGCATACAGGGAATGTTTGGGGATAATCGTGAAAATCAAATGTATCTAATATTATTCAATAATGTATCTAGCAGGTTTTAATGTGAATAAAAGTGAAGCAATAAAAAAAAGGATAGATATGATAACGCTAGTCTTTGGCTACTCAGCAGAAACAGAGAGAACTTAGCTGAGAAGTGTTAATGCCTCCATCATATAGTTCTAACCTCCCTCAGATTTTTACATGTTTTGATGTCTTCAGAATTCTTTGGGTGATGTTAGGGGTAAACATTAAGAGAGTACTGTCTAATCTACTAGTCACATTTTTTTTTATCAAAAATCTCAACATTTCTACAGTAACGGGACTATGACACAACCTGATGGCAACAAATTATTGAACAAAATGACACATATAATATTAAACTTTGAAAAAATGTCTTGTATTTGTATACTAAATACGAAGAAAAAAATTCCCCTACCTTATATTATAGTTAATCAATTACATCAGTATTTCTTATAATATTTTTAAGTTGGTAAACGTTTCAGGTACTTCTTAGAATTCGAGAAAAAGTTATTTTTGTTGTCTTGTCCAATTAGGAGAGTACTCGTACCTTAAGTTTGCAGTGGATTTCATGGTAGCTGCTTACATAGTTTTTCTTTTATAAATATAAGTAAGGTTGCTAGTTGATTGTGGTTGGGTTAAAATATATTTAAGTATTGTAGTATATAGTAATAGTAATTAAAAACAACACTTCTGGCATTTACTACTGTGATACATAAATTTTCACAATCTTTGTAACTACTGCTTTAAAATGTATGTTTAAGGTTGTCTTCACACTAAAGTTTGTTCAGTTTAGACTTTCGATAAACTTGTGTGCATGAAACAACTATTAGACATAACTATTTCTACAGAAAACTACAGTTACCTTCTAGCAAGATAAAAAAAAACATGGGACACAAAATAAGTAAATACGTAGCAGAAACTACATTTGCCTTAAATTAACGTTAACGCTTAACTTTAAACATGATCTTTTTTTTTAATTATTTTAAAATGAGTGTCTGATTTAACTACCTACATAAATGTGCACATCTGTAATTAATGAAATGTAAATAGTTATCAAATGGAAAGACAATTTCTTAAAATAAAACAGGTTATTTATATTTTTAATTAAATCTTTTTGTGTGTCAAACACACAAACAGTTTTAAGTTCTTCTTCAAGCTCAAACGGCTGAACCAATTTTGATATGATTTAGTATGGAGGTAGCTGACACCCTGTTAATATTAACACATAGGTTATTTTTTATCCCGAAAAAATGTGATGTTCCCGTTGGGTGAGCACATGAGTTAAATAATACACGTTCTAGTGTATCTGATAAACCACGCATACACTGCGGGCCGTAGCTATTTAGTCATTAAATTTTACCCTTCTACAACTATTCTTAAACTTAAGCAGTTCCGCTCAGTGCAGTGTTTTAGCTTAGATCTTCGCCTTAAACAATCATTTATGTGATTCACATTTAGGAATTCTGATTTAATGTGTTTTTTTATCTAATATTGGTACAAGTCAAATCACACAAAAAAGACTCGTACTTCAAAGTTGCCAGATATTTTTAGAACCAGTTGAGAGAGTAGATAAAAGGGCCTTTTCTGATTCAAATTCTGTTATAGCCAGGTATATTTATAACTCTTGTTCCCAAGGGTGTAGTTGATTGATATTTCAACCCTTAGAAGTCATAAATATATGATTTGGGAGTTTAATTTCAAACGGTCAATAAATTTGGACAGATATTTCATTGCGTACTGTAATATCGTGTAATAAATCAATAACTAATCATGTCGTTATAAATATTATTGCATTTATTTTAAGCTTTATAGACATAGCTTAACAGATTTCGGTGATAATAGAATTACGTACAGTTATTTGCTTCATCAGTGTATCAGTATATTAAGAATACAACGTTTAATTTCTTTCAATTTAGGAACTGTATGAATATTACTCCCTCACTGCCTCAGCCAGTATCTATAGTATATATATATATCCCTTTTCGAGGTCACTTAGAGAGTAAGGTCAAAATGGCTTCAAAGAAGCTCGGTGTGCTGAACAGATCAAGGAAGTGTTTCACCCCGGCCTACCACCTTCAAATCTATAAGGCACAAGTCCGGCCGCATATGGAATACTGTTCTCATCTCTATGCCCTGCATATGCCCCTGCACCTCAATACCAGCTTCACCCTGTGGAACGCATTCAACGAAGCCGCCCAAAGATCTTTGATCGGCTCGATTTCTTGGCGTTACGTAGAGATGTAGCCCTACTCTGCATTCTCTATCGAATACATCATTGAGAGTGCTCCTAGGAATTGTTCGAACTAGTACCGAACGCAACTTGCCGCCATCATTCCACAAAATTTTCATCTCATCACTTTGATAATTGGCGCTTAAACCACTGTGCGCTTTTCAAGACACTTTTTGCCTCGTATAACCAAATCGTTGGAACAAGTTATCGTCTGCGGTATTACCAGACCGATACAACCTTCAAACTTTCAACAAAAGAGCGTTCTCCTTCCGAAAAGGCTGGCAACGCGCTTGTGACTCCTGAGTTGCAGGCGTTCATGGGCGGCGGTAGTCACTTTCCATCAGGTGACCCGTCTGCTCGATTGCCTCCTCTTCCATAAAAAATATGGGTATGAAAAACACTCTAGCATGTTAAAAATGATGTATAATGTTTAAATGTGATAACAATAATATAATCAGACATATTTGCTTATGCTAACATTTTTCTTTTCAATTTTATGTATAAAACTTATTTTGTCAGAGATGAAAGAAATGAGTTTATGTAAAACCACTCCTGAAACACCTGTTAAACATGTGTACAAAATTACGACGGTATTAACTATGACGACAGAAAAGTAATTGATGATAATTAATTACGCCTCAAAGTGAAATTATTTAGTACGCCGTATTTTTCATCCCTAATTTTCAACCCTGTGAGGTGAAATACTTTCTTCAAAGTAAAAACGGTTAAACGAAATTCTATTCAATTTACAAATACTTATTAAAATCGGTTTACAATATGCAATTTTAAGAAATCAATACTTTGAAATTTATATGACGAAATTGATGCAATTTGGTATGGAGAGACTTTATTTCTTGAGGAAAGACATTACTACTTTTTCCCGCGATAACCGTCATTTACGCGGGCGGAGCCGCGGGCAGAAGCTAGTAATAGTAATTTTATATACCAAAACCATTTTAATTGAGGTTAAGACGATTTAAATAAGTATACTAACTAGGTATTCTGATTATTGAGTAATTTTGTGGGAACAATAACACACCAAATGGCGTTTTATTAAAAAAAAGTATCTTCATCGCTATATGTATGCCTATAATATTTTAAAAGCTCCTTCAATTTTACCTGGATTCTTTTATTTATCTTGCAAATAAAAATATTTTTCCAAATTTGCCCTCTAATCGAATAGCATGGATAAAAATAAGAGATCCCAACGAAATGAGCACCACCTTGTTTATCAGGAGTTGATTAACAAACAGAACATATAAAACTTAATAATAATATACAAACAAAAATCGAAATGCCCAGGTTTAAACTCAATAGAAATTAAGTTATTAAATGTTGTCCCCAGATTACAAAGTTGTCGATCTCATATTGAGATCTTAGAAGGCATCCACGAGTTTGGAGGCAGAGGAGAGAGAGATAGATCTGAGCGCGGGGATCGAGCTCTTCTCAAAGAATGTGGACCAACCGTAAGGGAGGCCAGGGATCCGTCTGGACGATTCTTAATACGTCAAGCTGTGATGTCCAAAGGTGCTAACTTAACAATCTTGGTTCGAAGAGCAAGTACTCAGATAGCGGATGAGGAAGAGTTTGTTGACGGTGCCTTCGCTTTCCATGATGGTAGGTAAATTGCACTATGTGTAAAAGACAGACTATGAATTAATTACATCTCAGTAAAATGTAAATATAATTATGTAATTATGTATGTCTTTTCTGTCAAACTATACTAACAAATCTGATTTACTCTTTTTGAGAGTTAATTAGAGGTAGTAAAGATTCATCATTTACAGTCAGACGACTATAAATTATCTATACAGTTTATTTCAAAACTAACAGTTATAGTTAAACCGCCGTAAGCTTGGCCCTCCTGATGATTTTTTTTCGGAACAACAACATGAAACATAACGACGTGTACTGCCCGTACACGTCGTTATGTTTCATGTTGTTTAACACTAACTTGTCTAATACTGCTTTCATAAACACGGCCCATTAATGGGTCAATCGTTTTAAATCTATAAAATTTATGCTGGTAACTATAGTCGACAACGACGAATGAAAAGGGATACTGGAAGCGGAACGAACTCAATCTACGGCTGAGCTTGCTGCGGGCTTTGGAGTTAGTGTCAAAACAATATGGAAGCAATTGCATCAGATCGGAAAGATAAAAAAAGCTAGATAAACGGATGCCACACGAACTAAGCAACTACCAGCAAGACTTACGCGTCGAAGGAATTCTGAATCGAATTGTTACTTGCCATGAAAAGTGGATCCTGTACGACAATCGTAAGCGTTGTCTCAGTGGGTGGACCTGGGTACAACACCTAATCAATGCGCTAAAAAAAAAGATTTCCCATAGGCAGATGATGGTGACTACCTGGTTAACCAGTGCCGTACTTGTATCCATTACCAAGAATTGCAAACAATGATGGAGAAGCTCACAATTCAACAACCACGACCGGTCAATCGCTCTTCCCTATTGCTTCTCCACGACAACACGCGAATTAAAACTTCACGACAGATAATCGTAAAGCTGCAAGAGTTACAGCTGAAAGATCTCCATCACCCACCGTATTCACCGCACCTTGACGATTTCTATTTTATCAAAATTTAGATATTTTATTAAATGGAAAAATTCAACACCCGACGGGCAGTTTAAAACGCTGTCGCTGATTTTATTACCTCCAGTATAGAAGAAAAAAAAAGTAAAAAGTTTACCATTTTGATAGTAGTTTGATCATCAAACTACTATCAAAATGGTAAACTTTTTTAGATAATTAGGCCCACTATTTTGACTAGCTTAAATAATAAAAAAATTATCACACAAGTCTCAATTCATAGGTAAAGACCTAATGTTATAAATCGTAATGTTGTAAATCGGTACATACTCACTATAATGAAAATGTTTGTGTGAAGATATATGTCTTCTGCCTATGTGTGGTATACATTAAGTGTAAGTATGAGTGATTTTATAAAACAAGTATAGAAAATATTTTCCTACATAATACGTGTTGTACATAAATAAAACAAGATGTTTCCTAGGAGATAGCATGTTTTTCAAAGCTCACTGCGAGAAAATACCACAGAAATTCTGAAACCGATAGCTACGTCGAAATGGTAAATGACAGTAATATTTTTTATGTTAAATTAATGGACCATAAAATCTTTCTTTACGGTTGTATTTATTAATACTTGGAGAATATTATTCTTCTTTTCATATCGTAACAAAATGATAGACATATTCTTCAAAAGACAGAATGAGTTAAAGATGTCACCAATCGACATTGCAGTCAACGTATGTTTTTCTTTTCTATAAATATTGAAAACATTACCAATATACTTCTCAAACCTTCAAAATTTGCAAAATTATTGTTCAAAGTAAAATCGCGATCGCGTGCTTTGTAGTGATTGTGCCATAACTTATTGTAACTTGAAAGAGAAAAGATCAAATATCTCATTGAGCTTTTAAGAATAAATGCAAAAGTTGGTCGGATAGTAGAAAATAAGGAGTGCCATAAACTTAAAACTTAATTATTGAAATCAGAACAAAACGTTTGTCAGGTCACATGTTTAAAATAAAATCCTATGCGATGTTAATCCAACTCAGTTAACTAACATGAAGCTATAATATATATGTATTTGATTAATTTCATTAGCTTCTTGAGTAAGCATAATTTGAAAAATATTTTGTAGAACAACACGAAGGCACAGCATCACCAGACTCAACGTGTGCCTCAACGCACTATGGGTTAGCGTCCCCTGCGCATGGGGGCGTCTCCGCTCCTTCGCATCATCACATATTTTGGAACATTGAAGAAAGACTTCTTTGTACGCATCGTTTTATACCTGCTGCTAATCAAAGCGTCACTATCGAGGTTTGTGTAATTTCATTATAAAAACTCTATCTCATATGTTATAAACTAGCTTTTAGAATAATACTATTTGATAGTTATAATATCACGTAACTCTAGGCTACAGTGAGTATTGATTACAATGATACTCTAGGTGGGTATCAACCATCAATATTTTTGAGAAGCTCATGTTTAGGAGAGGTCACCTAAGTTTTATGACAAAGCCGGAATAAGGATTGAAGGGCTTTCAAAAGTTTATGAGAAGGTCCTTGCTATGTTAGAGAGAGAGTAGAGATCTTGAATTTTGACAAAGAGGTAGTTTCTAGGGACAGAAAGGTAGACCACGTGAGCTTAAAACAGAATTTGCAACTTATCAAGAAATCTAAGAGCTCTCATAAGTTTATGTGTAAGTCTTTGACTTTTGTTTGTGCAAGACACCTGTAACTTGGCATGGAGGTTACATACAGGCTTGGCTACTTTGTCACACACTTGACCTTATGACCTTATTTTGGAATACAGATATTCAATATTAACACCACTAATAGCAATAACTGATTTTACCAACCCACGGTACAACAAATTTATTACAGCCAGTAAATTCATATTGTTTCAAATCTACCCTCAACTCTTAGTGACTACAAGTTTAAAATGACTAAAAATGAAATGAATTCTTTGACGTTCAATTCGTTTGTATAATTATACGCATGTAGTTTGTTTAGGTTTGTGTGTGTGAGATACGTTAATAGAAGAAGGTCCTAAGTCCAACTAGTATAATTCTATAACTTCGTAAAACTGCTACTGGACTTATGACCGTGACCGTACGAGTAAAATAATGTGAGAATTTACTATGCAGAAAAAAAAACAAAAAGGGTTTTGCAGTAATTAAATCACGTAAATTTTGCTACCACTTGTTAGGTATTTTGAATTTTTACAAAATATTCACCCAGCACTGGTAATAAAACAACGTACTTTTTATGAGTAAAACGAATTATAAACCCAGCAAAGTTTGGTGATGAGATGACAGATGTGTTTTTTGTTTTTTTTAGTACTACTCGTTTAGTATAACCTATGTTTGCGGTGATTACCCTTACGGTGTTAGACTGCTGGTATACAAATATTGAATAAACTAATTCAAATACGTATTTTGCTGACTGAATTTTGTTTTTAAGAGTGTTATCAGAATATATTTATGAATTAATCAATGACTATGAAGAGGGGTATGAAATCTTACTTATTTTTCGTTTGTTCATCATCATCATCAACAAGCTGTAACAGTCCACTGCTGGACATAAGCATATAATGGATATTAAATTTAAGCTATTGGGTATTTCGTTATACATCTACATTTATGTACACCTATATTCTAAGTTTAAACTGGCTCACGAGTTTTGAAGTTTTTGAAATTACATACTTTCATTTATTTTGTGTGTTAAATATTTCAAAAGATTATTATTATAGTTAGTTTTTACATCAGGATTGTGTTTCTTTAAAAAACTTTAATATACATTTTATAAAAATATTAAATGACAAACACTATTGTCATTGTTAACAACTGCCGATGCATACTTGGACGAAAAGCGAATGATACCTTCATGAACTAAATTACTAATTCTTAATGTGCTTCATAAGCCTAACTAATCCTAGTTTAGTATTTGAAATGTGAATGTGTGTATTTATTACACTTGCCCACCTAAACTACTTATCTCGTCATCATGAAATTTCTATAAACATTGTTAGGAATACAGAAAATGGAAATTAGGTATCTGATCCGCGAAGCCTCCTCTATCCTCCTCGTCCACCTTAGATTCATCATCATCATCAACAGTCTTTAATAGTCCACTGCTGGACATAGGCCTCTCCTTTGACAGGAGGTTTGTTAGTGGATTATAATGTGTTAAATATATGTTATAGATAAATATTTATTTTGTTATTTAGATCCAACGCTTGGAGCGAATGTTGAGTGCGGAACCGACGGGCACCGTTGTTGGAGCAGGGGGCTGTCGTACCGCCTGTGGCGATGCTGGCTGTGAATGTCGCTCTAACACACCATTGTACTATCATGACCACATAGCACTGGTCGCCGGCGACGGAACTCACCTCTCCTGCTTATGTGGTGACTTTCAGGTAATACAATGTTACGTCTTCTAAGATCTTGTGGCGCCAACGTAATGTAGTACTGTCTATTTTTTTTTTAACGTGTGGAAATCCCCTCGGACCGTCACCCCTCCGGGGTTTGCGGCGGGGTGGTGTGTCGGACTCGGATCGACTAAAACCACACGGTGTGCCACTCTGCGCCTGTAACAGGAGGGATCCGGGAACAGCTGTTGTTAAGACATCCGGACCCCTCCTAGCGCCAGCCCGCTCCTGGTGCGGGCTCCGTCTCAATATTTTTGTTTTCCTCTCTTTAGGCGACGTCCGGCACACGCGGACGCCGCCCCCTCGCGGCTGGCCAAACTAATGCGGGTGGAGAGGAAACCCACCCCGTCCACCCGCGGCCACACTCAGGGCGGCATGAGGCTGTGATAGGCGGGCCTCCGCCGCCCGGTTCGCCGGCGGCGGATCGGGTCCGAGTGGAGGTCGTCCTCCCGGGCCCTCTCCGCCGCCTCCTTCCGCGAGATTACTACCTCGCAGAAGGTTGCGACCGCAGTAAAACAACTGTCGCTACCGGCCATGGAGCGTACTGCGGCCGGTAGCGAGAGATCCACTCCGATGACTGCAGTGAGGGCCCGGCGCTGCGCCGCCCATGCTGGGCAGACCGCCAGCGTGTGCTGGGCCGAGTCCTCACTGCAGTCGCAGTGGTGGCAGGCGGGACTCAGTTCCCTCCTAGCGACCGTGTGCAGGTACTTTCCGAAGCAACCGTGCCCGGAAAGCACCTGCGTCAGCCGGAAGGAAAGGGTCCCGTGCTGCCGCCCTGCCCACTCGGCGATGACCGGCTGGAGAGCCTCCACGGCGGCGAAGCCAGCGCGTGGAGTCTCCAGCCGGAACGACCAACGAGCCATCGTGGCTCGGCGAGCGGCTTCGCGCCACTCGCGCACATCCTCGGGCGGAGGGCGAAATCCGCTCTCCGCCCGGAAGTCAGCCACTCGCCGATAAACTTCGGCGAGCACTTCCGCCTCCAAATCCCACGGGGGAGTTCCGGCCAATGCGCATGCCACCTCCGTCGAAACGGTGCGGTAACCGCGTATGGCTCTGACCGCCATTACCCTCTGAGGGCGCCAGAGGCGTACCCTATTCTGGGCGGTCAGAGCCGCCGCCCACACCGGTGCACCGTACAGTGCCATTGACCGGACAACCCCCGTGTACAGCCGTCTTGTCGCGACGCTGGGTCCACCCATATTGGGCAAAAGTCGCCCTAGGGCAGACGCAGCGCCGACCAGCTTTGGAGCAAGCTGTCGGAAGTGCTCGTCGAAGAGCCACCTCCCGTCGAGGATCAGGCCCAGATATTTCATCTGGGCCCGAATCGGTACGAGGACCGAGTTGACCACGATTGAGGCGCCAGGGGGTGGACCACGACGGGGCCCATGGAATAACAGGGCCTCCGTCTTATCTAGGGCCACCCGTAAGCCCAGCGCCTCAATGCGCCCGACCACCAGGGAGACTCCCCCTGTGGCCAGGCGCGCCGCCTCTTGGAAGTTTGCCCCCCGGGCTGTCACGAGGGTATCGTCTGCGTAACAGATTACACCCAGCCCGGGGGGGAAATCGGCGCGAAGGGCCCAGTCGTACCCTATGTTCCACAAGAGGGGTCCAAGAATAGACCCCTGTGGAACACCGCACGACATGGGCCGACACCTCAGATTACCTTCTCGGTCCTCGTACACGACGGTACGCTCCTCTAAATAGTCTGCCACTAGCCGCCTCAGGTACTTTGGCACCCCATGATAGTGGAGTGCTTCCCTGATGCAGCTGAATGGCAGACTATTGAATGCGTTGGCGATGTCCAATGACACCGCCAACAGCACGCCGCCACAGCTCACGGCCTCTTCGGTCACGGCCCTCAGGCGCAACACGGCGTCGACTGTCGAACGCCCCGCCCGAAAACCAAATTGGGCGTCCGACAGATCGGGGCCCACCTCGCAGAGGTGCCGGACGATGCGGGCAGAAAGAACCCTCTCAAACAATTTGCCCGCCTCGTCCAGCAGCACGATGGGCCTATAGGCCGCGACCGAATCGGCTGGCCGTCCCGGCTTCCTCAATAGGACCAGCTTCCCGCTTTTCCAGCACTCAGGGAAGCGTCCCGACGCCAAGCTAGCGTCGAACACCTCCCCGAGGCGGTCTGCCATGTGGTTGAGGGCCAGGGCCAGCACTCGGGCCGGTACTCCGTCTGGCCCAGGGGCGGTGTTCTTGGAACGGATCCGTAGAACAGCCGCCCCTACCTCCGAATCCCGGACGGGCGGAACATTATCCTCCCCGTGCTCCCCGTCGTCTCCGGCCAGGGAGGCCATCGACGGGGGAGTGTGTTCCGCCCGTTGTGGGAAAAGGCCCTCAACCACTTCTCGCAGGAAGCTGGGCTGGAGAGTCTCCGTAAGGGGGGGGGGCCGACGCGCGGAGCTTTTGTCGCACCGCGCGGTAAGGGCGACCCCAGGGGTCACGATTAAGACCCTCCAGCATCTCCTGTCTCTTTTCTTCTTTGGCGCGGCTAATGGCCAGCTTCAGAGTTTTCCGCGCCCGTCGGTACTCCTCATGAAGCCGGTCCTCCTCACCGTCTCCACGGTGACGCCGCCGACTGCGCGTGTAGGACCTCCGGGCACGTGTACAGGCCGCACGGAGGTCCGCCAGCTCCTGGGACCACCAGTAGACCTCCTTCCTTGGAGGCCGACGACCTCGAATGCGGGGCATGGCCGCATCGCATACATGCGTAATCGCATCGCGAAAGCGACCAGCCCCCACGTCGACCTCCTCGGTCGGAGCCTGAGGAGACAGCCACGAGTGAATTATGGCTGCCTCCTCTAGTAGGTCCCGGTTCAGTCTGGCATTCTCATAACCTCCTTTTTTTTTTTTTTTTTTTTTTTTTACGTGTGGAAATCCCCTCGGACCGTCACCCCGCCGGGGCTCTCATTCGGCGGGGCGGTGTGTCGGACTCGAACCGACTAAAACCACACGGTGTGCCCTCTTTGCGCTTCCAGTTTAGAAGGGGTCCAGGTAGCTATCTCCTTCTGGACCCCTCCCAGCGCCAGCCCGCTCCTGGCGCGGGCTCCGTCTCAGTGGACCCTCTCTTTAGGCGGCGTCCGGCACACGCGGACGCCGCCCCCTCGCGGCTGGCCAACTAATGCGGGTGGAGGGGAGAACCCATCCCGTCCACCCGCGGCCACACTCAGGGCGGCATGAGGCGCAGGTGAGCGCGCCTCCGCCGCCCGGTTCGCCGGCGACGGATCAGGTCCGAGTGGAGGTCGTCCTCCCGGGCCTTCTCCGCCGCCTCCTTCTGCGAGATTACCTCCTCGCAGAAGGTTGCGACCGCGGTAAAACAACCGTCGCTACCGGCCATGGAGCGAATTACGGCCGGTAGCGAGAGATCTGCTCCGATGACTGCAGTGAGGGCCCGGCGCTGCGTCGCCCATGCGGGGCAAACCGCCAGCGTGTGCTGGGCCGAATCCTCACCGCAGTCGCAGTGGTGGCAGGCGGGACTCGATTCCCTCCTAGCGACCGAGTACAGGTACTTTCCGAAGCAACCGTGCCCGGAAAGCACCTGCGTCAGCCGGAAGGAAAGGGTCCCGTGCTGCCGCCCTGCCCACTCGGCGATGACCGGCTGGAGAGCCTCCACGGCGGCGAAGCCAGCGCGTGGAGTCTCCAGCCGGAACGACCATCTCACCATAATGGCTCGGCGAGCGGCTTCGCGCCACTCGCGCACGTCTTCGGGCGGAGGGCGAAATCCGCTCTCCGCCCGGAAGTCAGCCACCCGCCGATAAACTTCGGCGAGCACTTCCGCCTCCAAATCCCACGGGGGTGTTCCGGCCAAGGCGCAAGCCGCTTCGGTGGACACCGTGCGGTATCCACGTATGGCTCTGACCGCCAATATCCTCTGGGGGCGCCAGAGGCGCGCCCTATTCGGGGCGGTCAGAGCCGCCACCCACACCGGTGCACCATACAGCGCCATGGACCGGACAACCCCCGCGTACAGCCGCCTCGTGGGAACACTGGCCCCGCCCAAATTGGGCAGAAGTCGCCCTAGGGCGGAGGCAGTGTCCACCAGCTTCGGACCAAGCTGTCGGAAGTGCTCGTCGAAGAGCCACCTACCGTCTAGGACCAGACCCAGGTACCTCATCTGGGCCCGGACCGGTACGAGGACCGAGCCGACCTCGATTGAGGCGCCGGCGGGCGGACCACGACGGGGCCCATGAAATAATAGGGCCTCCGTCTTATCCAGGGCCACCCGCAAACCCAGCGCCTCAATGCGCCCGACCACCTGGGAAACTCCCGTGGCGGCCAGGCGCGCCGCCTCCTGGAAGTTAGCCCCCCGGGCCGTGACTAAAGTGTCATCTGCGTAGCAGAGTACACCCAGCCCGGGGGGGAGACGCCCTCGTAGGGCCCAGTCGTATCCGATGTTCCACAGGAGTGGTCCTAGGACAGACCCCTGCGGAACACCGCACGACATGGCCCTGCGTCTCAAGACGCCATCTCGGTCCTCGTACATGACGGTTCGCTCCTCAAGATAGTCTGCCACCAGCCGCCTCAGGTACTCCGGCACTCCGTGGTAGCGGAGCGCTTCCCTGATGCAGCTGAATGGCAGACTATTGAAGGCGTTGGCGATGTCCAAAGACACCGCCAACACCACTCCGCCGCAGCTCACGGCCTCCTCGGTCACGGCCCTAAGGCGCATCACGGCATCGATCGTCGAACGCCCCTCTCGGAAACCGAATTGGGCATCCGACAGATCGGGGCCGACCTCGCAAAGGTGCCGGACGATGCGGGCAGAGAGCACCCTCTCAAAAAGTTTGCCCGCCTCGTCCAGCAATACGATAGGCCTATAGGCCGCGACCGATTAGGCAGGCCGTCCCGGCTTCTGCAGCAGGACCAGCTTCCCGCATTTCCAGCGCTCAGGGAAGCGTCCGGACGCCAGGCTAGCGTCCAACACCTCCCTGAGGTGGTCCGACATGTAGTCGAGGGCTCGGGCCATCACTCGAGCTGGAACCCCGTCCGGCCCGGGGGCAATTCTCATAACCTCCTAGCGTAAGCTTATCTAAGAAAAGTATTATCTAGTATTATAACTCATGTTACTAGAAGTCCTTATATTTTCATTTAGTGTTTATTTTATTAGAGACTTGCTGCCCCTACAGACTTTGTTCTGTCAAAAGTTATTGCACCGTCACAGTTAAATAGAAAAACTAATAAATAAATAAAAACGTATTTCAGAGTGATTACTATATTTATTGATTTAACATCTCAATATTAAACAACGATTTCTTATAAAAATAAGTTTTCTGTTTTGTATATTGAAATACTCGTACTTTAGTAATGATGCGATGATATTTTCATTGTAATGCTTTTTGGTACATCATTTTTTTTGTTTGATTACCTGGCGAGTAAACAAATAAAGCTAACGTTTTTCAAAAGCGGGAGCTAGTAATATACATCTGTCCATGAGAGAAGCATGGGGACACGTATGTCAATAATACTATTTTCTTTGATGAACCCTTTTTTTTTCTTCGAATTTAATTTGTCAGGCATAAATTAATCCGCAGCCTAATCAATTTGAAGGCATACCAAAGGTAATCGTAACGTGCCTGTTTTATTTTGATTGACATCAAGTGTTTGACAGCTAGACAGACTGCACGAATGCGACACAGGAAATATTCCTAGTGTTTGAGTTGTCTTCTAAAAAAAAAAAAAGAGCTGGGGATAGGTGTTTTAATTTATTCTGTGGTTTGTTTGGATAACCAAAATTGGTATTACTATTTTAGTGATTTTTTTTCTTTCTTTCTCTCTAAAAGAACCTTCCATGCGCATTAACGCAAACATGAAGCAAAAAGACGCATTAGTCGTACCATTCTCGAGTTTTGCGCTTAGCAACAGATTTGGCGATTCATATTTATTTAAATAGATAGATATAGATAACCGTGTTCATCTACAACCACACGGTATGACTGTTTGTATAGGCATTAGTAAGTAATACAAGTAGTACTGCCCTACCGGGCCCTACAATAGTAATCATAAATAATGATACAGTAAATGAACTCCCTAAATGCGGTTGCCTGAAAATAATTAAAAAAAAACTTTTTCATACCCAGCAGAGTAGGTAAATACTATGGTTGTGTATAGCGATTCTGAAAGGTCAACAATGATTTGTCATTGGTGATATCACGCTAAAGCACACATCTGGCTGCAAAAAACATTAGTTTTTTTAAAATGTGAGACAAAGTTTAGCAATCGACTAAAAACCGATTTTACCGACGGTGTACATATGCAATACCGTGTAGCTACCTCTTACATTTTGTACACAGTAATTAATTTTCAGTGTATTTTTATTAAATTGTTAATCCTACTGAAAATGTAAATTCCGTTTTCCATCCAAAAATTAATTACGAAAATCCTTTTGCCATAGCTGTAGGACTCATGAAATTATGTCAACTTTATATCCAACGGTTGTTGAGCAATGCTTGTGACAGACGGGATACTTAAGAGCTAGAATCTGGAAAATTGGAGTAATATTCTTCAATTTTCCACTTTCACAACACAGCAAAAATAAAAGGAAAATGCTCTTAATACCCACTCTACATCGCATATTTAATGATGTCATTTTAAAACACGAATTTTTCACTTGACGGGTAAATGTATGTATAAACCTACTTTATTTGCAAGTCAAAAATAACAGTACTCGACTTGACACTCATTGGAATTGACATTCATTACAGCTATCTCGGCGAACGAAATATTCGAAAGCCATCCAGAAGAAAATTGACGTTAATTGCTTGAAATATTAAGGGAAACATTGAGGGTAATTGACGGTAAAAATCGTAGATTCCTGTATAAAGCTGGGTAAGTTAGTTAAAGATTATACTGCTAAATTCGGACGTGGGTATATTATATTTTGTACATTTAAACTTTTCCTGGAACCAACATGGGTCTTTAGTAAACTAGAACCGAAATGGGTGATCTAATTATATTATTAGTCCCTCTCTCTATTTCTCTCTCTCTCTCTCTGAATATATGACAGCAAATAAATTAATTGTGTTACTTAGGCCTTATGCTAACACGAACGTTGGGCGAACCAACCCTTCCGCAGCTACGACGCGCTGGCCTGTGGTGCGATCCGCATAATTAAGTAAGAGGGTTACTATTAAGTATGTAAGAGCAATAAAGCGTGGAACAACCACCCGAGTGTACAGGGACCCTTACATAAAAGCAAATATTCCGCTTTATAATTTACTTACCATGTTTAATACTCTTTCGTTAGCCATACAAATTACGTCTTTAGATGCGGCCAAATGTTAGTAGCTTTATATTAGTGCACATCAGCATTTAGAGCAATGTTCCGATCAGGAAGCCGAGAGTAAGTTTAACAAAGTAACTATATCTGAATTCAGTGATAACAATATAGGATGTGCCCGACATAAATCTTACTTCCAGTAGTTATCGGATCTAATTTCACTTCTTGCATAATTTTTGAATACACTTATCCACCTTTGCTTTGCATATATACATAAAATTAACTGTAATTTTAGCTAATATCGTTTTTTACCTCCCTACATATCACTAAATTTTTACTAGACAAATACTCAGAATAAAATGAAAACTCCTGCTCGTTTTAACAATATTAATTAATTAAGTATCGAATCTAAATAAATAACTCAGTTCACAACGGATTTAACATACTAGAGTAGTTTTGGTTCCGGTATATTTATGTTCAATTAATATTGATCTATTTACGCTGACGGGGAGAAGGTATTAGAAACGAAGACAGATATGGTACACGCTTTGTTATCTTACATCGCGAAATGCTCGCGTAATTTAATTATTAACAGCGCTTTTCCCCTGTCATAGCTTGACGTCGTTGCTCCAAATTGTTACGAGGCCGCATTGTTGTGAAATGGACGTTGGGTAATATCTAAAACAGGTTTTGGCATGGCGGTCTATGTTTCGACACTCATAGTCATGATTATGTACCGCATGTCATCCCGCTGCCTGAATTATCAGGGGCTGGCCACCTCGGGGCGACAGCTCCCGAAACTGAGCCCTGAAAATTCAATTACTTAGTATACGTATGGCTATTTTGTAAACCGTTGCATGTTGTATGTAACAACATTCCATGCACGTACGTCAATTTATGATGAGCGTGTGTATCGTTCATGTTTTACTATCTTGTTTTATGGACTACGATGGTATATTCATAATATGGTACACACTAATGGTAATAATTATGTTTACACATTTATTAATTAAACGTATGTTTTAAGGGTTTATTTCATGTGTGTATTTCGGCAATATCGAACTAGTTTCGAACTAAACGAGGCCCTATCACCAATGGGTAAAGTTGCCTTCTATGACGTGCCAGGTCAACTGTATGTCTTTAATAAATATCACATAAATTTTCGTTCAAATATTATGTTTACATTGAATAATCATTAAAATGTAAAATAAAATTTCATAAACTTTATTTGTCCGCAGGCGGCTTGGCTACCGGTAGTGGTGCGAAGTTGGACGAGTGTTCGTTTGGAGTACTCCGTGGCTCATTACACGTACACCAGTCGTGGTTTTGATTATGCGGCCGCATACAGTTTCAACGATGATGCTATGTGCGGTCAACGTACATACACGACCCATTCTGGTGAGGTTACTCGCTTGTCTAGCAGGCGCCTATATGATATCTGTCAAGCACAAAACATCAAATAAACCTGAATTTAATTTCACGAAGTTATACGTTATATAAAGATGTGAAAAGCTCTAACCATATCAAACAAAACACAAGCAGTTCATTTGACATTCGACGAGTGTCTCAGACGTTTTTAAACAAGCATCGGATATTGTTCTCAGTAGTGCAAAACGGCGAGTCCGAGAAAATTACGTGGCTCACGTTACAATACGACCCAGTTTCACGCTGCCTACGTTAACACTGAATAAAAAAACCTTGGGGAAGATTGTAAAGTTTTTATTATAATAACGCTATTGCGGCAAGTCGTCATTTAAATTTATTGCTTCCCCGTGGACGACCTAATTTTGCTTTTCTTTCTGTAGGTGAAATATCATCGAGAAACGTATCGGTCACGGGCAGTTTGAATGAGTTTTTCTATCAACAATGCACTTGGGTATTAGACTCGAACGTCGAGCGCCAGCTGTTCATTGACATCACGTCTGAACAGGTAAGAAGAGATGAAAGCTTTTGGAGTTTGTCTTTATTTCACTTGGTTTTATCTTATTGACCGCTCTAAATCTTGTGTAGTTTTTGGTATAGTACTTTATGTAAGTAATAGTTACATTTAGTAGGTTAGTAGTTAGTATTTAAAAAAAAAAAACTTTGATTAACTACACGATAAACCAGCTGATAGACTCCGTGATAGTAATTGCAGTTGCATATTCACACACGTTACTTCACTGCTTCTAATTTTTCCACGCAGCAATTAAATAAATTGTGTTTATCATTCATTTGGTAAACATTTTATCATTTTCTATGTATAAAATAATAAATATATAATGTACTGGATGACTGCGCTGCATTTTTCTGGAAGCCTATACCGTTTAACTATTAGGTAATAATGATCCAAGTTAAGGATGTATGATCGAAGCCTTTACAAGCTCTGAAACAAACACTTTGTAAGTTGTATAATATGTAAGTGCAATCATATGCTAACAATACTTTCGGGTATAAGTGAGAAATTTCACAACAAATACAGTATTGGGATGGATAATGAGTAATATAAAGAAACGGTAATTATAAAGAACGCTATTTATAAGTAAATTGGAACATTTTGTAGATATACATTTTGTATTTGTATATCAGTAAAATACTCTTTGAAATGTTTACTAAAGAACCATTTAGTAAACATAGCAAGACGAATGCACTACCGTTATGCCACTGAGTAAACAATATAAATAAATGTAAGCAAATAAAACAATAGTTGTATCAAAAAACAATATGTTAAAATATAATTGCCAGACCAAAATACAAAATATTACGCGTAATACAGCCTCCATCAATAGTTAAATTCGTTTGGCTTGTTGCAGAAACTACCACAGCTGCAGTTTATTTTATAGACACCGGCAGTTAGTCACGGCATAACATCCTTTATCGTGCTTAAAATATTGTAAACGTTTATGTTTTGTGTGTGTACAACCGGGACGGAGTTTTTCTTAAACACAGAGCCGATCTAACAAGTTACTCCCTTGGCATTTGACAAATAGAGTGGCTTTTCCTTCACGTCTAGACTTCTACTTACATGCCATACGTTCCTTTTGAGTACCTCCTGGCTTTAAATGATCAGGATCACATAGATTGTAAGGTCAGTTCCTGAGTGTAGTGAGGCCAGAAAGCAAGTCTTGGGGTTGATGATGAGACATAGCGTGTGTTCCGATCCTTAGACCCAAAATGTAGTGCTTATTATTTAACGTGACAACGAATCCATAATAAATAAATATATCTGTTATTATTCCGCAATCAATTATGACATGTGGCATTAAGAGCTAATGAGTATCATGTAAAGTTCATTTTTAATATCTTGCATATATTTAAAGTCAATAAGTATACATAATTGGTGGAAACAGGATTTTGGCTTTGAAAATAATTATTTGGGAAAGCCGTGCTTCTTGCCGAACTTAACCAACACCACCCACCCACACGTAACACTCACATACACTTTACAAAACGAATAGGTGAAGCAGCAGTGGTATTAATTTTAACAGCAGAGTTATGGTACGCCATATTCTATCTATATATTCATTTTTATTGCATTTACTGCGGCCTCTGATTATTTACTTTGGTGTTTCACGTAAATATTTTCATAGGATAAATCATGCGGCTCATGGAACATCACCCTGCACGAGTGGTCGGGCCCCGGAACAAACGATGCGGGGCTTGCCGGAACGGCCGGCGAGCTGTTATACACCTTCTGCGCACGACATAAGAACCATACTTACACTCTACCCTGGCGACTTAATACTGTAGTTATTCGGTACGTATGAAAAGTCAAGGTGAGATATACTGAAATATTTTAACTAGGTTCACTAAAACCAGATGACTGCTCTGACAATCTGAGGGTGATCTGTTTTTCTAACCTCCTCTTTTTGTGCAGTAGTACAACAGAAATATGATTACTATGGCTTAATCAACTTATACAAGATCACACTATTAAGATAAATAACTTTAACTATTAAGATAATAGCTCCAGAAAGCTCACACACCTACAACTGCCTGATCTCAAACTAGACAGAGCATGTAACGCTGGGAAAGATACTTACATATTGTTAAATAAACATTATAGATATTACATACAGATACAGAGTAAATTTTTTGCTCTTTATTATTTGTTTTCGTTAGGAATCGAACTTATGACTTCTGGCTCAGCAATCAATAAATTAACCACTAGAATAACAGGCCAGTTATGATGACGCCTCCTCCACAACGTTGTCGACGATAAAGACTTCGCAGTGAAAAAAGAAAGAAGAGAATATTTACCAGAAGATATCACTATACAAGTACAACAAGATTGATCACTTCAGGTCAACAAAATGAGTTTTTATGATGTTCAGTTAGCGATATGTCATCATAGTTTATCGCTTATGTGTCACCAAAATATATGAATTAGAAATATATTGACACACGAGCGACAGCTACGTGAAATTAGCGACTTTTTAAGAGTATGTCGTGTATAACTAATATTAGAGATATATACATTCAGTAAAAAAGTATCGGGAATGGATGATTTGTTTATGGTTCCAAATTCAAATTTTTGTTTTTTTTGTTGTTGTTAGATTGGCACAACCATTTCTGCACGGATTACGAGTTGCATCTGTTATTTATATTAAATACAGTGCTGTTTTTAGTTATATCATATCTAGTGTGTATTACGAATTTCATAATGGACAAAAACATCGAACTAAGAGTTTGTACTAAATTTTGCATCTCCATTGGAATTTCGTGTTCGGAGTCACTGAAAATGTTACAGAAGGCTTACGATGAATCGAATTTATCAAAAACACGTGCTTATGAGTGATAAAAAGCGTTCAAAAGCGGTCGAGATGTGATGGAAGGTTTGCTACGCTCTGGTAGGCCAAAAACTTCTACAATTAAAGTTAACATCGCAAAAGTGAAGGAAATAGTGACTGAAAATCCTCATTCAATTTTGAGAGAGATAGCCGCCGAACTTTCTGTATCTCACGAGTCGATCCGTACCATTTTAACTAATCATTTGGGTATGAAACATGTTAGTCTAGTCCAGCTAGTCTAAACAGGCTAGTCCCAAAAGACTTGAATTTTCTACAAAAACTCAATCGAATGAGAGTCGCTGAGGACATGCTAGAACGAGTCAATTCCGACCCAACATTCATGAAACGCATTGTTACTGGTAACGAAACGTGGGTTTACGAGTTTGACATGCGAACTAGTCAACAAGCTTCGGAGAGCCTTTCAACTGATCCGAAACCAAAAAAACCACGCCAAAGTCGATCAAAAGTCAAAGTCATGTTGACTGTTTTCTTTGACTATCGCGGTGTTGTGCACTCGGAATTCTTGCCGGAAGGTCAAACAGTAAATAAAGAATATTATTTCAGCGTTATGCGGCATTTAAGAGAGCAAATTCGACGAAAAAGGCCAGATTTGTGGAAAGAAAATTTTTGGATTTTGCACCGCGATAATGCGCCTTCGTACACGGCCATAAGTGTGATTTTTTTACTCTCAACAAATACTTTTAAACACTCAACAAATACTATCGAGCAACCACCATATTCACCAGACATGGCTCCAGACGACTTCTTTTTTTTCCTAGAGTCAAATTACCACTTCGTGGCACCCGTTTTCAATCGGTAGAAGACATAAAGAGAATTCGCGGCGAGAACTGCACTCAATTCCGGAAACAGCGTTTAAAAAATGTTTTGATGATTGGATTATTCGTTGGCGTAAGTGTATCGTTTCTGAAGGAGCATACTTTAAAGGTGATAAAATAAATTTCGATGAATAACAAACATTTTGTGTATTATTGATCTTTTCCCGGTACTTTCTTGACAGAGTAGTATTTTCTTCTTTTTTTTAAAGACAACTCTTATTAGGAATATATCTTGTGTCCCGGGGAACTTTACAAACAAACGGACGGAAACGGACACAAATGACACCCAGACTCACAACAACAATTTGTGGATCACACATCAGAGTGTCGTCGCATGCGGGGTTCGGACCCACAACACTCAGCGTAGTAGTAAGCAGCGTGGAGATCGCTTAAACCACTCCGCCATCCGTGCAGTCAATTATTATTATTATTATATATTAACTGAAATGAATCAAAAATTACTAATAAAATGTACACTAGTTAAAAATAACCACGAAATTAATAATCCGAAAAATACGGAATTCTCAGGGACAAGATTCTTATTCAAGAAGCGTCTAAACATTTTACGTACACACCTAGTTTACTCAAAAAATCTTTTGCGAGCTCTTAGCGTGGCCTAAACAATTTCCAAAAGAAAGAAAAACGCTACGATAAATTATTTATGAATGGCCCTCGGCTTTAATACACCAACCAAAGTAAAAATACGTAACAGCGCATGCTTTTATTTAGCCACTTTTCCAGTACAAAGATCTTTTTTCTTTGTGCATATTAGAGGAAGCCGTAAGAGGGTGCGTGGCGTGTTTTCCAAATGTCATTTCCACTCGTAAATCGTGAATAACGATGTGTGAAAACATACTTTTGTCAATGAATGGCAAGGCCGATGTGGCGAATAGTTCCCTTTGGTGGGCTCAGGTGAAATAGTGAATACCGAGCGTCCATTCTCGCAACAGCTTTTCAATTTGATTGTTCAGTTTTTATTTTCTTTTTTTAATAGTATGAGTGCACTTTAGTTTTTATATCCAAACCAAAAGCAATGCTATTGAAAGGATGCCGACACGCGTAAACACATTCATATTGTTACAAGCCTACTAGTATAAGACGACCATAAATGCCATACGGCTTTCACCAAAAAACTGGAAAGTTACGATTATGGAAGTTATGAAATTATTATGAATGATTATGAAGGATGTGATAGTTACAATATAATAAAATAATAAATAATGTGAAAATATTAAGAATGATTATGTGGTCATATTTAGTTGTTTTTACGATACTTTTAAGTGGTTGATATTAATAGATAGTAAAAAAAAACATTGTATTCTTTAAATACAAAATAATGCACTAACTGTATTTTAATTCAATATGTTTAATACTTGTGTTCTTACTTATTGAAGAGTAATAAAGCTGATATGATATACAATTAAATACATTTCATTAAATATATTGCAAAGAGCCTCAAATACAGTAAATATTTTATTTCGTTTAACAAATCAGATCAGCCGAACTAATTAAACAAATGAATACTTTGAGTAATTTATTTTCTAAAACGGCAATATCTATCTAAGAATATTATTTTATTTATTAATTATTGAAGACTATTATTTAAATTCTTATCTACTAATTACTACAACGTATGGCCTGCTAAATGTTAATTTTAATTTATGCAATTTAATTCATATTATATATGGTCAACAATTGACTGCCTCGGTGGTGCAGTAGTAGCGTATGCGGCTCCTGTGCTGTCTTGGGTTCCATTCCCGGGTCGGGCCAAATGTTTATATAATCTGCAAATTTTTGTTTCAGAGATTAGTTGTTTTCTATGTATAATGTGTATGTATTTACAAAAAAAAGTATGTATATATTATATGTATCTGTCAATCTAAATTTCATAAAACAGGCTCTGCTTAGTTTGAAACTAGATGGCGCTGTGTATCTGGCGCTCAACGCCATCTAGTTTCAGAGGCCGAAACAAGAATTGGTACTAGGCCGCTTGTATAAAACAAAACAATTTTCACAACACCTACATATTTTCACATGAGTACCTTCTAGGCGGATAAAATAGGAATGGTCTTGTTTACACAAATCAATTTTATTCTGTCATCAACAGCCTTTAATAGTCCACTGCTGAACATAGGCCTCTCCTTAGAAAGGAGGTTTTGGCCCACTATACCACGTTGGCCAGACGGGTTGGTATAGGGTTTGTGTCAAGTTTTCCTTCTTTTTGCAGTGCTGGTGTCCTGCGTTGTTTTGCGCCTTTAGTCGGCTCTTACGTATTATTTTTATTTATTCTGTAAATTCTATAAATTAATCTTGATTTTTTTCATCAGTTCTTTGTTTATTTATTTTGTGTAAATTGTATTGTATTGAATTTACTTGGAAATTAGTTTTTTTTCGCTTCCCTCCTTGAACAAATAATTATGATATTAGCGCGATCTTTGTGATCTGTGTGGATAGCTTCAATGTGAAAATAAGCCATAAGCCATTTGATCGAATCCAATCTGAATTAGATAGTGATATAACAAGCTAGTGAACTTGTTGATCATTGACGACAAGCTGCTAAGTTTTAGTAGCGACTGATATTTATGTGACATCACAACCCAGTGTAATATCACGGTCAATAAACTTACAAACAAAATACGACATTTTTGAGACCCTCGATATAGATTGTGTGTGACAAATATTTTGTTCAGTATGTGTTCTTTGCATTTCTACAGGCTAGTTGCATTATCACGACAGCAGCCACTATACACCATTCGTTGGCGGTCCCAAGTGGTTCGAGCGAACAACCGTTTGGGTCCTCCGACCCCTGCACCTGCGGCATCAGCAGCCGCTGACACCATCACGATGACGCACCGCCTGTTGTACTGTATAGTGTGGTTATCAGTGCTTGAACTTTAAAAAAAAATGTACTATATGATGTCAGGACTCATTTAGATGAGGTAAGCTTCTAAATAAAAGACTAAAACAGTGTTTTCTGCAATTAATCGGATATAATATATAAGCAACTGACCTGGGCAGGAAAAATTACGGTATTAGGTTTACCATCCGAATTCAGTTGTTTTTTTAATTACAAGATTAATTTATTAAATAATTATGCAATACCTTTCATTACCGTTTCGCTTTGCATTATTATATTAATAAAATTTAATCAAGAAAGTGTATTATAGTAAGATGGAACGAATAGCGTCAGCCTGGGTATAATCTCATCAAATTATCAGAAAACTAATTTGTGAGTTAAACTTTTAATAACTTAATAGGGTTTAACTCGCAAATGTTCAAATTTGGAATAAGCAAAATTAACCCCAGTTAATTGAAATGTTCATATAAGTTAGAGTCCAATATCAAATGGGAATGTTCGGCTGAATTGTTTTTGTGAAAGTTTAGAATCGGAATTGGTTTAATTTTAGTATAATATGCGAAACGATCTCGTCTAAATGAGTGTGTTTTGAACGGTGTAATATGGGTGAATGAAATGAAGTGGTCTTCTCTGTGAAGCAGTGGTAAAGCTGAAGTGAAGTGTGAAAATGAGCTAAGTATGTGGTAATAATTGCTATGATAATGATTGCTTTGACGGTAATATAATTTACTATGTATTTTACCTTTAAAAAAAACCTATTATAAACTTTTGTTGATCGTTTCCTTTTTCTTGGTACCCATTAGTTACGTACGTTTCAGTTAAATAAATCGCAATCTCACAATTGCTATCCTGATTAATTGTAACTAAACTGTAAACATTCCGATTTTAATTTTATCCTGTCTTTATTTATTTACTCAGGTCCATAAGTTGCAGTAAATTGTACAATTACATATGTTCTTAGGGGGTAACTATGTTTGCTAGCGTTTTGAACTTCTGTGCTGGTGCTACAAGGTAACGTGGTTGTAATATCAGGCAGTTCACATGCAAATGCTTCAAATGGAGCAGTTAAAACTACAACCGTTTGTAATAGAATTCGTCTATGATATGTTAACTTAATCAACTTTAATTTCCATAGAATAAGTTACTGTAAATCAATACAACTCAAAGTTTTTTTTTTCATTTCATTGATTAATTTGTGATTGGTGGGTATTCTAACTTTAAAAAAAGACACATATATGGTTATATTTTATTTTACTCTATTGTAATTGCAATTGTGCAGTAAACCAGTGCAACTTGAAATATGAAGGAATGTATGTAATGTACATAGTAATATGTATACAATAAGCTTAAAACGAATCTTCAAAAAATAGCGTAGAATAAACACCTCCAAAGACTTTTGGAAAAGTAGGTATTACGGCAAAAAAATTAGACTTCTAATGCTATAATGTACTTGTTTTCTTTTTTTTTTGTAAGAAGTAAGGTAGAACCAATATTTATATAAATGGCTGTTTATTAACTGTCTTATTGTCAATTAAATCAGTAGTCATTAAAATACTGTTGATTTGATCGTCTTTCTTCGCTGTTCGTTGCTTGTATATAATTATGTAGATATTCTCGTAATATTGGCGTTTATTAATACATGTTAATATTAATTTATACTTTAAGTCAATAAATATAATCTGGTATGAATTCAAGATATTCTTAATTATAAATATGCAGCTGTACTCGTTCTATGGCTATAAATCATCTTAAGAAGACAGCGACGATACAATAAAGAAATCTCAATCATTCTAAATAAAATTTAACGAATGCACAAAAATATTTAAACTAGTATCACTTCTAGTATTATATGCAAAAACAACAAAGAATAATATTCAATATAAATCTAAAAATTCAAACATTTTGGTGCACTTCACACATAAATTGAATTCAACAAACACATTGTTTTATAGATAAAAAGTTGTATATTGAAATAGTGATTTAAATTTTGTATTGGAAATATTGTGAGCTGAATTGTGTGTGTATTATTGCTTTTACGTGTTGCGATAGATAGACGCAGTCACTCGTACACTACATTTTTTGAATTTAGAATACAAAGCCGTTGTTATCTTCATACCTTTTAGTAAACTAAGATATTGTAAGATACCTAGCAGATGTTTTTCAAATGAATAAGTTATCAGTTCTCAAACAAGGACAACATTTTCTTTCTGATCGGATTTCTTAGGTATCTATAATATTCTTTTATACCTGAATTTTAATAAAAATTTCAAATGTTTATTCACCTTTGTTCTTTGTGCCTAGCCAACTCTCTTTTAGTGGCATTGGCAAGTCAGTTGGTAACCGTCATTTTTATAATGTAGGTATTCCTTTCAAAGTTGATTGCCTTTGAAAGTTGGTTCCCAATTAATCTTGGAAAAAGATGTATTAAAAAATACGTCTTTGTACATGGGATAGTGCAATATTTAAAATCGCAGTAAAGATATGGTGAATACGAATATAAATACGTATATCTGTGTGTCCGCCAAACACGTAAAAACGAGCGACGGACGCGACGGTTCCGACATTACGAACAACTGTTACATACAATATGGGTATTGGTAGATATTAAAACGTCATTTAATATTTAAAAAACCGGTCAGGTATCTGTTAACAAAAGTACTAATTAGATGAAAGCTTATTTTCCGTATGGATGAGTTCCACGTTGCTCAAGTATTCTATCATCTTATCGTTTCACGGTAAACCATAGAACACATGTATAACACAAACAAACATTAAAAATATGTAAGAATGAGTGATTCAGATCCCTAGCAAGTTTAGTCATTCAATCTTGGGCTCTGAACATAACATCTTAATTGCATAATCATGAAAAGGTGACCAGTAAAACTACCAATCAAAAAGAATTAAGAAACCAAAATAAGTACATTGTCCTTTAGATTCCAATACAATCGTAATGAGCCACTCCTCAGTCCTATCCAGCTAAGCAAAAAAATATTTAACTATGTATACCTATACCGGTTACCCGTATCATGAAGATCAGAAACAAAGCATCTATATACGAGAAGTATATTTTTTCGACTGTATCGCAAGCGATCACGTACTCAACAAGTTGATCTAAACACTTGTCGGCTTGTTTTCGACTTAGGAAAAGTATTTTGTACAAGCTGAAATTTATAGCTCAATAAGTTTAGGATGCCATTTGTTATTTCTGAGTTCTTAGAATCTTTAAACGTAGTTCAACCGTCTTAATTACTTGACATACAATGACAAAACAATTCCAAAAATCAGAATATCATAATCTATGGTTTAAAAAAAGTAAACAATAGTCAGGACTAGTTTTTTCTGTGATCGAAATAACACTATAAAACAATATTTCATTATGTGCTTCTTTTTTTAAACATAGTTTTTTATACCAGTTTAGTTAGTTTTAATGGCAGACAGGATGTTTGTTTTTATTTTTATTATGTAATGAGTTTAGAAATAACGTAGAGCTGTTTTTATCTTGTCTATTAGACAACTTAGAATTACCATTAAACATTGTGTTACAACATTGATTTCGCCTTTGTCCTTTGCTTATAAAGCGCTCAACTGAATTATAGGAAGGCAAAAGCATTTCTTAAACTATCAAATAAAGTACACGATAAGTAGCTCGCTTAGTTGAGACTTCCACGTAACAAGATACGGTCTCTTTGTTACACAATGTGCGCTTTGTAGAAACCAACAAATCTTTGATAAATTATCTTTTACATCTAATTACTTTTAATATTAATTACTAAAAAAAGTTTTTTTTTTCATCTTGTACTCGGAATTGTTAGTAAATATAATGAATTTAAATTGAAATTGTGTGTCCGAAAACATTTATTTTAATTATAACGTAACTATCAGTTCACCACAACTTCTCTTTCATAAAAGTATTTCTTCCATCTCAAGAGATAAAAGGGCACTTTTCCTTTTATGTCCTTTTCTGTCAACGTGTTTGACAACTTTAATGATCACTAAGCAAACGGATGACGCGTAAAATATGTTCGCGTATTTGTATTTGTTCATGTTTATGTAAATAAATTGCTTTTGCGCTATAACATCAATTTTTAATAAGAAGAAGTATTATACATGTCTAGAGACAGTCAGAAATTGAATAAGTAATTATGTTTAATAAATAAATAAATAAATAAATGTTATGTTTTGGTTATGATCACACTGAATCTATACTTTTAAAAGTGATGGTGGTATTTTTGTATAGGTATAATTATCCACAACGAAATGTGAGGTTAAAATGAAAAAGGTTTAAACCTTTTCTGCAAAAATAACCTTTATTTCAAATTCTTTATTCAAAAATAATAAATACTGTTTATTCAGAATTCTTAGCTTTTCATCTGCGTCATATTTATCCTTCATTAAGAGCAATGATTAAAACATAAATCACGGAGTATTCATTCTACATTGTAGCAGCTTCATAAATATTTTTATTAGGTTTGCATTACAGCTTTGTAAAAAAAAAAAATTATTGTATCACTTACACTGTATTTAGATATTAACTTAGATTAGATGTAAATAGTGTAGACAATGTTGGTATTATCAATATTAAATGTAAGACTGTTTTGATAATGCCAAAATTGTTTCTTTAGAATAATGGAAAACCGCTAACTTTAATAGGTAGATGAGACTATCAATAATAAATAATGTTTGTTACACTGAAATAGATAAAATGAACGCAATTTGTGTTTTATTTGTACCCACTTTTAACCGACTTGAAAAACACAAAAGAGGAGGCTCTCAATTCGTTTTGTTTTTGTATGATTGTTACGCAATATCTCCGTCAATTGTGGACCAATTTTCAAAAATCTTTTTGTAATCGACAGTTTATACTCCCGAGGTGGTCTCATTGCCAACAACGCAGAATCTGCTAACGGGATCCTAGAGAAGTCGAAGGAAACCCTCAAATTTTACAGCCCTGACAACGTGTTTTAGCTGGTTTCTCTAGCTACACCGGTATTTGCGTCTGGGAAATAAAATTAGTTATTAGTGGTAAATTTAAAAGTTACGT